GGATGGCAAGTTCAAGAACAACCTGAACTACAGTGAGTTTGAGGCCAGCCTGATGATCTATCAATTTAGTGAAAACATCTCAAAATAAAATACTCTCGGGGCAGAGCATGTACCAAGCACATGTGAGGCCTAGACATCCATCTCCATCATCATCTTTTAAAAGGAGGTGGAGAGGTCCTGAGAGATGGCACAAGCATGAGGACCTGAGTTAGATCCTAGCACCCATATAAAAGTGGGCACAGCAGTGTGCAGCTGTAATTCCAGCACTGGGGAGGCAGAGAAAGGGATCTCTGATTTAGTGAGAGAGCCTGTCTCAAAAAGGAAGAGAGCTGGTGAGAAAGCTCCGCAGGTATAAGCTCTTGCCACAAAAGTCTGGCAACCCTAGTTCAATCTCTGCAACCCACAGTGGAGGGAGAACATTAACTTCCACAGGCTGCATCTGACCATCACATAGACACCATGACACACAAATACTCACACACAAATAATAATAAATTTTTCCTTTTTTTTTTTTCTCTGTAGCTTTGGAGCCTGTCCTTGAACTTGCTCTGTAGACCAGGCTGCCTCACAAAGATTCGCCTGCCTCTGCCTCTTGAGTGCTGGGATTATAGGTGTATGCCACCACTACCCCACTAATTTTCAAATACTTAAAATAAAAATAAGGTGGGAAACAATTGAGAAAGATACAGACAACCTCTGGTGTCCACTTGTACCCACCACACACAACAGCTGTCTGTCTGTCATGCAAAGTGCACTAAGGGGCCAGTGAGATGGCTCTGTGGGGAAAGGCACTTGCTGCCAAACCTAATGAACTGATTTCAGTCCTTGAAACCCACACAGTGGGAGGAGAGACTGACTCCTGAGGGCTATGCTCTAGCCTCCACATGCACACTGTGGCACACACATACCTACACACAGACAACTAAAATGCTTACAACCTACATGCTTGTAAAGTTCTAGGTTTGACTCTCTACACTGCTACAAATAAAATCCTAAAACATATTGAATATAAATAAGCACGTGTTAAATAATGAAATAATACAACTTTATCTGGCACTACAGTAAGAAACCAGAAATAGGGCTGGCTGGAGGGACAGGCATGGTGCTGCACTCCTTTAAAACCCAGCACTGGAGAGACAGAAGCAGGGATCTCTGTGAGTTTGAGACCAGCTTGGTCTACCTAACAAGTTCAGGCCAGCCAAGGTTACATAGTAAGACCAGTGTGGTGGTGGTAAGGGGTGGGAAATGGAAATAGTTAAGAGGTTAAAATCAATTGTTGCACAATCATGAGGACTGGCGTTCCAACCCCAACACCTACTTAACAAGCCAGATGTTTCACAAGTATCTGTAACTCTAGCTCTGAAGGACCCAATGCCCTATTATGGGCTCCATGTGCTCACAGACATGCAAGCCTGCGCACACATGGGAACATGCCTATAAAGACATTAACATGCACATGAGAGAGAGACAGAGAGAGAGAGACAGAGAAAGAGAGAGATGAGAGAGAGAGAGAGAGAGAGAGAGAGAGAGAGAGAGGAAGAAAGGAAGTGAGGGAGGGAGGAAGGAAAGGCGGGAGGGAGGGAGGGAATGACAGAGGAAGGCTGATTGCTGGGAGTTTTGAGGCTAGTTTGGCTTCTGCCTCCCGAGTGCTGGGATTAAAGGCGTTCGCCACCAACGCCCGGCTTTGGAGAAACTATTTTTATTGATTTTTTTTGTTTGTTTTTTTTAAGACAGGTTTTCTTCTTAACAGCCCTGTCTATACTGGAACTCTCTTTGTAGACCAGGCTGGCCCCAAACTGGCGTTCCAACCCCAACACCTACTTAACAAGCCAGATGTTTCACAAGTATCTGTAACTCTAGCTCTGAAGGACCCAATGCATCCTTCAGAGTGAATCCTAAGACAGCCAGGACTACATACAGAAACCCTGTCTCAAAAAAACAAATAAAAGGGGATGGAGAGATGGTTCAGAGGTAAAGAGCACTAACAGCTCTTCCAGAGGACCCAGGTTCAGTTCCCAGCACCCACATGGCAGCTAACAACGGTATGTAACTCCAAAATCTGACACTCTCACACAGACTACATGAAGGCAAAACACCAATCCAAATAAAATAAAGATAAATAATTTTTAAAAAAATAAAAGAAAAAAAGAAGCCAGGCATTGGTAGCACACGCCTTTAGTCCCAGCACTTGGGAGGCAGAGGCAGGCGGGTCTCTGTGAGTTTAGGGCCAGCCTGGTCTACAAAGTGAGTTCCAGGATAGACAGGACTGTTAAGAAGAAAACCTGTCTTAAAAAAAACAAACAAAAAAAATCAATAAAAATAGTTTCTCCAAAGCCGGGCGTTGGTGGCGAACGCCTTTAATCCCAGCACTCGGGAGGCAGAGGCAGGCGGATCTCTGTGAGTTCAAGACCAGCCTGGTCTACAAGAGCTAGTTCCAGGACAGCCTCTAAAGCCACAGAGAAACCCCGTCTCGAAAAACCAAAAGAAAAAAAAAAAAAAAGTTTCTCCAGGCAGGGAAACTGAGTGGTTGGGACAAGCATGTAAAACAAATATTTCATACATGTAATCCTTCTACAAAATGTTTTAAATATGACATTAACATTTTAAAATGTTAATTCACATCTAAAGCCTACCTATGATCCCAACACTTTGGAGATAGGAAGATCAGTAGTTCAGTGTCATCCTCAGCTACATAGCAAACTCATGGCAAGTTTGAGCTACATGAGAGCCTATCTCAAAACATACATGTACACATACACATACACATTGTATACCCAACAATGTACATTTTCAAAATGGAGGCAGCATCCAATTATTGTAGAGATCAAAGCTACTGATGAGCTTTGTAATGCTCAGATAGGCAGTTGACTACATGGCTCTAGAGTTCCTGAAGCTTTCCTGACTCAGACTCTATCAGCTAAGGTCAGAAAGGAGAGATTGATAAAGAGTCCACAGCACAAGAGAGTAAGACCTGCCTGGAGAAGGGCAAAGAAAAGCCAACCAATGCAAGCACAACAGGAACAGGCCTGAAGGGCAAAAAGAGAAAGCACAGTCAGGAAGTCAAGAGAATGGGAAGGTGCAGCTGTGGCTCAGGATAAGCCGTCAGGAAAGTATTCTAAAGGCATGCTTACTGACAGGGGACTCAGGTGGAATGGAGATGTAAAACTACAGAGCAAACGGCAATAAGTGTAAACTCTACCCAGAGCAAAAGGTTAGGTCACCTCTTATAATTGTTATTATTTTGTTTTAAACATCTCTAGACTCTGAGCCTGGGAAAAGAAGCCAAGAAAAGAAGACTACAAGCTGAGCTCTGAGTATTTGCTCTCTTCTATTTAATCTTCCACTTTAATTTAGAGTGGTTTCAGGAACCAGGTTTCAATTCCCAGCACCCTCGTGGTGGTTCATATCTGTCTGTAACTCCAATTCCCAAGGATCTGACACCCTCACAGACAAACACCAGACAAAACACCAATGAATATAAAATAGTGGTTTTCAGAATTAAGACTATCGAAGACTGGCCTCTGGGTATCTTGAACTTTACCTTATTTCCTTTAATGATATCAAAGTATCCCCACAAGAAGAATTTTCTAATGGTTCATCCTAACTCATAAAGGGAAAGGGCTGGAGAGATGGCTCAGTTGTTAAGAACACTGGCTGCTCTTGTAGAGGGTTTGGTACCCGGTACCCATGTGTCAGCTCACAACTGACTATAACACCAGCTGCAGAGGATTTAATGCTCTCTTCTGGCCTCGACAACCAAAGCACACACGTGCAAACATACATACATACATGTAGGCAAACACTCATACACATAAAAAATAAAATGAAGAAAGTCACAAAGGGTGCAAGACTATCAGACTGACTTTAATTCAATCCCCACTTGCCAATTAAAGCTACCTACTCTCCTCATTCCTGTAAAGTCATACCACGCATATTTCACATACATACATATTTGCATATTAGGTGTTCTGGTTTGGTTTGGTATGGTCTTGGTGAGGGTGTTGATACAGGGCTCTCTATGTAGTCCTGGCTATCCTGGAACTCACCATGCAGATCAGGCTGGCCTGGAACTCACAGATATCTTCCTGCCTCAGCCTCCAGTGTGGTGGAATTAAGGAGAGTGCCACCACACCCAGCCCATATTTTCATATTGTAATACATGCACACTTCACATAATAGTATCCATGGCAAATATGTATCTTTCACAAAATATTGGTTCTAACCCCTTCCAAGTTTCACACACAAACATTTCACAAGTGCAGCTGCAGAGCTTAAAACAAAAGTAAAAATAAACAACAACAACAAAAAAAAAACCCTAGAGTTAAACACACAGGCAGTTAATCAAAATTTAAGTATTCATCACTGTAGTTCCAACATCACAGGACACCCAGATTTCGTTCATTCTTAGAATTAGGAATAGCAATCTCTACCTACACTTCATGTATAAAAACCACAAAAGCGAAACTTTTGTTGCTTCTCTAGGAACTCTTGTTCCTTAAATTTTTTCATTTATGTCAATGAAAACTGTCTATACTCCATTGTCTCTTTGCCTTTGAACCCTAAGTATTTATGTCTCTCATCACAAGCACTCAAAGGGTAAGACACTCCTCTTCTATCGTTCCACAACTTTTGAGCACCCAGCATTTGCTAGCTGCTGAAAGTGCTGAGTTCAACAGTTTCTGCTTTAACAGCCATTCAGGCTTACTTGTAAACAAATTACAACAGAGGCAAAACCAGAAGTGAGTACAGAAATAAATCAGAGGAGGAACACACCCTTGGGCAGTATAAGAAAATCTGGGGTACACTTCTGAATTCCTCAAAAGGCCTCAACAAATACCTGTTGAATGTATTTCTGAATGAAGTGATTCCTGTTCATGGAAACTGGGGTTCTAGCCCCAAGAAAGATTATCAGCTGCTTCGGAAGTGGCCTCCCAACTGCAACACGTAGACCCCAAAAACACTCACGTTCCACCCGAGAAAGTCACTTTGGAGGACCGTACCTGTACTGCCAGCCTTTCGTACTGCCACCGCGGCTGCTGTTGCTGCTGCTACTGCTGACCGCACCCCCACAGCTGCTGTTGCTGCTGTTCTTGTTCGGGGTCACCGCTGTGGCCAGGCCCTCCAGCTTCCCTTCACTCTCTGAGACTTTTAGGACCGGCGCCGGCTCACCTCCCTGCATCTTAACTCCAAAGTTCATCTGCCCTCCTCGGGCGGGAGAGACCAACTGCAGAGGGATCTTGTAGCTACTTTCCCCCCTTTCTCTCTTGCTTTTACTCTGAATGTGATCTCGGACCGCGGCTGGAGTGGAAACCGTCAGGGATCCAGAAAACGAGGACGCGCATTTCCACTTCGGTTAAAACTTTTAAAGAGCACCGGTACCCTTCTGATAGATGCCTCTCCTGAGCAAGAACAAGGAGGACCGATCACCCCGCCAGAGGGCTCGGTGCCACACTCCGAGGAGCAGCCGGGCGGCGCGGGCGAGGTCGCAGATCCTCCGGCCGGGAACGCGGGGCAGGGGCAAGGACAGGGGACCACGGCCGG